GACAAGGGGAAAATAATTTAAACAGCATTCATGAAATGTTCAAGGGAATTCAGCTGATCCAGAGGTTCGTTTGAAGAAAATTACTCAGTTGTTAGGCTCATCTGAAGAATGAGTTCTTCTCCAGTAGTCATAAGTAACACTGGTCCTATGGCTGGTGCCACTGGAATGGAAACAGTAGTGGCTGTGGCACTTTGTGCACTTGCTGCAGTTTTCCTTGGTGCACTACTAGTGTTGCTTGTCATTTGCAAAAGACAACGGTGTTACTATGTAAGTTGCACATTCTTTGTTCGCTTAGTATCATGAAACATGGTCATGAAATCTCAGTGATTGTTTCAGAATCAAAAAGATTCTCCAGATTTGAGTTCTGATTTATTAGAGGGGGAGAACTTTTCTGGCTTAAGCTTAGATGCCTGGGAGAGTGAAGAGTGGTTAGCTGGCGCAGAGAGGTACAATGTATTATTAATACATAAGGGTAAAAGTGTGAACTAATTTCTTAATGGTCAAATTGCAGATGGGTTGATGATGCTACTGGTTTAGCTCCATTGTGCATTGCTGTGTTGAGATCTTGCCATGCTTTGGCTTCAAGTCTCACTGCTATTGCAGGCACAGTGAACAGTAACACTGTTCCATTAGAAATAGTGGATGTAAGTTTATGTTTGTTTTTACTGGGTAACATGTGATATTATTGAGTGTTGTATTCTTCAGGTTGCTAGACGTATTCCACCTCGTGTTGATGATGTGGTCAGAAGCTTGTATCCACCATTAGATGCAAGGCTGTTGGAAGCCAGAGTAGCAGCACTGGTATTAGCTGTTACACATTTGGCATTGGTAACCAAACACGGAATATCGAAAAGTCACGTTAGGAAGTTAGCATTCATTGACCAAGCTTTAAGTGATATGGATTCTCATTTGTCAATTTTGAGAAACGCCGCGCTGGCACAGGAGATGGCTTGTTCTGTTCCAGCCTCCACATCAGTATGAATGTCGTGTTGTTCCCTGGTGTGCAAGGAATTTGTACCAGTATTTACCATTCTCACGTCTCTTATGGTTTTGGGTCTTTTAACTAAACATTCGTCAAACTCTACGTGAAATTGAAGGTACACGTAATGCTATGAAAAGTTACGTATGATATATTTCTTTTTTTATTATATGTCAAGGTCCAAAACCCAACAGTGCAACTTCGACTTTTCTACCGACAAATATCCAAGTGTATTACATTTCACGTAATCATAGAGTTGTTACAAAAATGCATACATTATTTTCGTGACGTATTAAAAAATATCGTAAGATATACATATGTATGTATATTTGAACATTTTTACGATCAAAGGACACCAGAGACATACTTTTTTTTGTGATATGGATATACGCGAGACTTTAGTCTTCCATGATGTCGATATACTAGATCCAGAGTATTTATATATGTATACCTGAGATAAAAAATGTTTCTATCTCGTGAACCATGTCGTTTGTTGTAAATTTATATTAAGTATTATTTATAACTGTCTGTACACATGTATGATATATATTTTTTATATCTACCGATGAGAGAATCAAATTAATTAATTTATAGTTAAATAAGAGACTTTATAATAAAGCTGAATCACACAAGAAAATAAAATTCAAGTATTTGTCGTGTGTGTGTTTTATAATAATACTTAAATGTGTTTTATTTTTTTGTTGTAATACTCTGTAATAATCTATATATGTGTATGTATCCAATTTATATTTTCTCGCAAAGTACATTATTAATTCATATCGGAACCCTACATTATTTAGCATGGTAAAACTACACCATGAATGAATCTTGTTGGTTGTCACAGAATAGTTCGCTGTTATTGTTTAAATAAATTAACTAAGAAATCCTCTAGATCACTGATAGCGCTACACAGCAGCGCGGATTCAGCGCTAGGCGCGGAGTTATATTCAAGGAAAAAAAAAAATCATAGCTGGCAGGGACAAGTTGCTATAACATAGAGAAAGTATACTTGGAAAGAGAAACCGAGCAGAGTAGATTACACGTCGTTTGGGTATTATTTGCTTCTGTGCATCTCCTTCTGTCTCTTTTGGTTGTCATTCAGCACTTTGTTCTTCAGATGCTCTTTGTAGTCCAAAATGTTTCCAGTCCACTTTGTCACTGTGCCATTTTCACAGACCCAAATTTCCTCTGCCACCTGATAATTAACAATAAAAGAAGAGATGAAAATAAAAACATTCACGTTTAATTTTTTATACCACTGTACATACCTGATTGATTAATCTAAAGTCGTGAGACACGAGCATCATCCCACCCTCAAAATCATTAATTGCATCTGCCAGAGCATCGATTGTCTCCATGTCCAAGTGATTGGTGGGTTCGTCGAGCAGAAGTAGATGAGGTACTTGCCACGCCAGCCACGCAAACACCACTCTGCAACGTTGACCATCTGACAACTGTCGAATTGGACACACCTGTACACAGAAAAAGAATTTTATTATCTTCTGAAACTCATATAGTATAAAATTCTAAATGCTTGCAAGTAACCATACTTGTTGACGACCGGTTAATCCGTAACGACCAATAATTTTTCTCATTTCTTCTCGTTCCTTGACATCTGGGAAGGCTTTCATCATATAATCCAATGGTGACATGTCCAAGTCTAATAATTCATGTAAATGCTGATGGTATCTTCCAATTCGAAGATGGCTATTCTTACGTATCATACCGCTAGTTGGAACTAACTATAATTATACAATTATATCTTACCTAAATGTACTTTTATTATCTATAAAACTAATAGATTGTTAAAACTTACATCTCCATATAGTAATTTTAAAAGGGTACTCTTTCCAGCACCATTTGGACCGACCAACGCGATTCTGGTGTCTAAATCTATACCGAATTCTAGATTCTTGTAAATCCAAGGCGAATCTTCGTTGTAACGGAAACTGACGTTCTGTACCATTATAACAGGAGGTGGAATAGTTCCACACGCGGGGAAGTAGAAATTCAGTACTTTATCGTTGACCACTTTTTCTGTGAGGCCTTGTGCTACCATTTTTGCCAGTGTTTTTTCCTTAGATTGTGCTTGTCTGGCCAGCTTGGCGGAACCGTGACCAAATCGAGCAATATAATTCTTCATGTGCGCCATTTGATCTTGTTCCCAGTTGTACTGTTTCGCTTGATTCTCCAATAATTCCATTCTAGTACAAAAAAATTCACATTAACATCTACTTATCAATTTTAACACTCATTATTGTTATTTCTAATTTACCTTGTCTTCACAAAGGCTTCGTAATTACCGCTATAGTATTTCAACTGTTTCTTATTGACATGAATGATATTTGTACAGATACCATTGAGGAAATCTTGTGAGTGAGAAATAATGACCAGAATTCTCTTGTATGACTTCAATTCTTCTTCCAACCACACACAAGCATCGAGATCTAAATGATTAGTAGGTTCATCCAGTAATAATAGATGAGGTTTTACATACAAAGCTCTGTAAAAAAATTGACATTTTAACCAAACAATTATTACAATATTTTACCAGTGAGCAATTATTATACACACCTAGCAAGAGCAATTCTCATTCGCCAACCTCCAGAGAAATCTTTGGTAGGTGTCTTTTGCATTTTTGCAGTGAAACCCAAACCATGTAAAATGTGTGCAGCACGAGATTCTGCTGTGTCAGCAGACATATCCTCTAACCTTTCATACACATCCATCAGTTGCTCCTATTTGGACAAAATTCTGTAAATTTTAAGTACTACAAAAAGATCTACAATAATACAAATAGAAACACACTTGAGCATCCTCCTCTTCACACTCCACTAACTCCTCTGCCAATTTTTCTAATCGTATACGTTCCTCATCAACCTCCATCACACATTCTAAAGCTGTCTTATTGCTAGCAGCCATTTCTCTAGTCAAATGAAAGATATCAATTTGATTAGGGATAGGAACTTCTCGATTTCCAAGTACAGCTAACAAAGTGGATTTCCCAGAGCCATTAAGTCCAAGTAAGCCATAACGTCTGCCACAGTTCAACTCTAACATGGTGTCCTGCAGCAGTTCACAGCCATGGAAAGTAATAGAAAAATTAGATATTTTAATGTCTCGACTCCGTGGATGTGAAGCCAATGATCCTGTGCACGAACGTGCTTCTGCACTCAGTCTGGCATCTGCTTCCAGTTTCATGCACAGTGCCTCTGTAATGAAAACAATGAAGACAACCATGGTACTTTACACAATCTCTTTTAGCTTCTTGTGAAAAATTTTCAATTTTACCTTCAGCACTGATGGGTGTTCCATTGGTCCCATTTTGAATGACTCCAACACCAGGACTGGACTCCTTGCCATCCTCTGCAGTTTTGTTCTGAGTGATCTGTGGTTTTTTGCCAGACTGTCGAGCCTTCGCCGCCTCTTTCTTCTTTTGCTGTTGTTTCTTCTTCGCATCGGACGGCATGATTCTCTCTGAAATTCGTGATTGAGCACCTGGAGCGTCGAATCCGCGGACACGAGCCGGGGATTCGCGTTATGTAAGCTTTAGGTTAGTAGTAGTATGGCACACGTGCGTTCACAAGGGGGATTAGGATGATTTAACGTCAAATTCGAAAATTTAAAAAATATCCATTGCTGTAAACGGCTCGTAACTTGAGCCAAGCAACGGGAGAGAGAGAGACAGACAAAGCGAGAGGGAAACAAAGTAGGGCGATGGAAAAAGAAAGAGAAAGACGGAGGAAGAGAGAAGTACTGAGAAACGGAAATTGGGATTTTTATTACATTTCTCGACTTTCCGTGCATAAGATCAAACGGGTGTGGGTAAAAATAATCCGTCTAACAGAAATAAAATAATTAAACGATCACGAAGAGGAAAAGGAGAAATGATTGTTGGTGAAAGAGAAAGAGGAAGCACCTCCAGCTGAGACAAAAGAATCTTCGATTATTCCTCGACACTGAGCCCTAACTAAAATACGCAGCAGTTATGCATTACACGATCTCTCCCTTTCCCCCCGTTTCTCCTGCGCGAACGTCTTATAGTATCTTCGAGAAATTACCTAATTGTGCGCCAAAAATCGAACGATCCGTGCAACAAACAACACACGTGCATGGATAAAGGCAAAGCCGTCAAAACGATGTTGTTCCATGAATTGTTCGACAGATGGCGATGATTGTTCCTCAAGTACTTTGCGAGGGAATTTGTGTGCAACATTTGTGCAATATCATATCGCTTGAGAATGAAAAAAATGTATTTTTTTTTTATTATAGAAAATTGTAGTATATATGTGATTGAAGAGGAGAAATTTTTAAGAAGAGGTAGAAGCATGGAGAAATTTTGAAATTTTGTGAAAAAAATTGAGCATTTTAGAGAATGAAATTGACGCCAATTATAGAGAATAAAGAAAGTTTATTTTTATGGTCATTTACCATTAATATTTGTCGATTATTGTCGATAACATAAGAAAATAGAATATTTAAATGCATATTGTTTAAAAATTGTGAAATAAATTAAATTCTTGTGAAATTAAGATAGTGCGTCATATATCGTGAAGTGCGGAAGGTTAGGTTAAATTAAATGAATAAGGTAAACTGTATAGTTAATATTAATTTATTTTTTTTACATGAGTATCATTTTATGGACTCTTTCTAAACTGTAAAGAATTTTTTTCAAACTTTGTAAGGGTTATTCGGTTATATCGATCAATGATTATCGATTACACTTCACACTGTGTCGAGTTCGATAATCGAATATTCCAATGATAGGTAAATAAGTGACTTAAAGTTATCGTTAATATATCATTTATCATTACAATTAAAATCAGAAAAATGAAACAGTGATTCATTTAAAAAATAATAATCGCGGCGTTATTAAACTCGGTAACACTCGTAATTGCATTCAGCTTCATTGTAACGAATCCAATTTAAAATTTTAAAAGAAGTTTTATCCGAACGAAGATACGAGGCGTGAAAAACGTTTCGTGAGAATATTACGATATCTAACCGTGTCGTCCCATTATCTTGATAAATAAAACATGAAACAACTAGAGTAAGATAATCAAAATCTTTTCGTATCCAATATTATTAACCTTTCTTTCCTGACCAACTTATCATCTTGATACTTAACCTAACATAACCAAACAATTGTACCAATCGTCCACCACCAACTCTATTGGAGTTAGGAATCTAAGATATTCGTAAACATGAATTTTATGCAACGAGAGGTATTCAATGGAATCTTCGTTTCAACCAGATCTAATGAAAGAATATCTAGAGTGGTTGAAAGTCGAGAAACTTGTGAATCTGACTAGAGAATCGGCGTGGTTACGTGGTTCAAACGACGGGAGCCGGTTAAAGAAGTGTGTTCTGATGAATGAACGAATGGATAAACGGCAGCGATGGTAGGGGCGGTAAAAGAAGAGACGGACTTGCGCCCCTGCGGGTTCAAAGTGCTGCTGGGGGAAGGGGGGAGGGTTAGGAGAGACGTAGGACAGGGGAGGGTGAGGGGATGCTGGCTTAATTGCACCGCATCACAGAACGTAGTATTTCGTAGTACGTGATGGTGGGGGTGTAATGCATCCTCGGTCGTCCTCGTCCTCGTCGACGGCGTCGTCGTCGGAGCCGTTATTCGTATGTAGCTACACGCACGCCTGGATCGACGTATGAGTACCAGGGCTGTATCCACCATAGTTCCTCCTTATAAAGAACCCTCAATAGAAATATAAAATTTTATTATTATTTGTTTTTTATATTAAATATTAATGTATACACGTGGATGTCTATTTTTTTTAATGGAAGTGTTCAATATATTA